CATTAATTATTACATTAAAATCTTCTTTATCTTCAAGAAGTTCAAGATAATCATTTGAAAGCTTTTCAAAGAATTTTACTCCCATTTTGAAAATTATCTTATGTGTAATTTTAGTTTATCGTTTTTAAATAGAAAAAAAAATTGTTACACTGCAGAAATATATCGATTCGTATGTATAAAGGTAGATACGTCATCAAATTTCAAAATTAGGCGTAACCCTCTCATAACTCAAAATTTAGTCTAAGAAACAGCCTTCTGCACACTAATAAAAAAATTTCCTTGTAAAATTTTGGTATAAGTAATTGAGACATGTAAGAAATATTTGGTATTTAAAAATTTTGAATTGATCCAAAAAAAGGATCGAAATATATTTATCTGCTTAGTTGACTTACACATTTCTGAAAATTTCGAAATTCTTCAGAAATGTTAAAATTTAGGCTCGAATACTTTCTCGTATTCAAATTATTATTTGTTATTATTGAAATAGAACCTATCATTATTTTTTAGATTCATTAATTTCTGTTTATGAGTAAAATCGTGGATATATCGACTACAATTTCTTTTCTTTGTTATAAGATAAAATAAAGTCAACTCTTTCTTTACATCCGTAACAAGCTTATTCGATGAAAGCTCTAATATTTCGTAATAATTTATTTTTTAATATGTCTCAGGAAAAAAGCAAAATTATAACTTATATTTAGTAGTGACAAACTTTTTGATTAAATAAATAACAGTTTTCATAAATAATGATTTAATAAAACCTCTTTAATGTTATCACTAGGGTTGTGAGCACGGGAAAATTTTTGGGCATGCCTCTGGTTTTTCTGATTTAAAGACATGCTCTACAGGCATGCCCTCAAAATTTTTTGTACGACACTTTTTTACATATCTAATATTTAAATTTTTTTAAAAAGGCATGCCCTAGGCTATGCCCCTAATGCCCACAACCCTAGTTGCCACAGCATAGTGGAATGATCATCATATATAAAAATACAATCGATCATATGATAAATCGTTAACGAATATGATTATATCTGATTAAATTTGCCAGAAGCAAGTAACGTCAAAGAATAAAATTTCACCTACTCTTTACTATATAAATTTATGACTTGCTACTTGCAAGTCATAAATTTATATAGTAAAGAGTAGATGAAATTTTAAAGAAATTTTATTCTTTGACGTTACTTGCTTTTGGCAAATTTAATCAGATATAATCATATTCGTTAACGATTTATCATATCAGATATGATCGATTGCATTTTCATATAGAACGTACACTATAAACAGCCAATGAAATTTAAGGATTGACAACCAATCAAATGGATGCTAGTTGCTATAGAGTTTCCGAAAGTCTGTATAACACATTGTTTTGATGATTTTGATCGTTGATTTTTAATATTCTTTACAAGTTTCTTGACGACGACGATTGTGGAGGTTTGACGACATTTATATGAAGTTCTTGGCGACGTTTCTATAAGTTCATTACGACGTTTCTGCAAGTTCAGTGATGCCTAACGACTTTTCTGTGGTGTTTTGACTTTTAAAATATTTTTCATATTTAATCTCCGTCGCCTCTATGCTTAAAATATTTTGATATTTTAAACTCGATGTTATGGTTTAGGTTCTACTGGTTCTGGCTCTTACATACGTTCCCACTTGTAGGTGTAAAACTTAGGAGAATTGAAAACTCATTGTGGCCACAGCTACAAGATGCTGTGAACGTTCTTTTCCCGGTTTCGGCTAAGTAGATACCAGAACAACATTAATTAAAATTCTGAAGAATTGAAAGCTCATCGTGGCCACAGTTGCAAAATACTGTGAATATTCTCCATTCGGGATAACTCAATATATATATATTAAGTAAACTAGTGTTACATTAAAACTATCTTTATATTATTTTTAGGATTAATTTTAAGTTAAATTTTTTTTTTTAAATTAGAATCAAAAAATCAAGTGTGATCAAGAATATTGTTATAATGCTACTCCTGGTGGTTTCTTGGACTTGTGATTCTCCTGGTGGTTATTGGAATTGTTGATTCTTCCAGTAGTTCTTGGACTTGTGATTCTCCTGGTAGTTATTGGACTTGTTGATTCTCCCGGTGGTTATTGGACTTGTTATATACTTGTTATACAAAATAACTTTACTGTATGTCTTCACTCCTGAATTCTCTATGAAAGAGATTCGAATTTAACTTGAATAAAGTTCAAATTTCGACTTGTCATTAAATAATAAATATTTAAGAATCGTCTTATTATAATTTATTTTTGTTTATTATATTTATTTTATTTGGTTATTTCGTGTATTCTATTCGCCCTGTTCGATTATATATAACCATATTATTTTTATTTAAGATCCCATTTATTAATCAACACTAACATAAAATCCATAATCGTAACTTTCATTAAACATATCTATCTTTCTATACCCCTTATTCCAAACTATTTTTTAAATTAAATTCATCGGACCCCAGCATATATTAACTATAGACTTATGTAATAAAAATATTTTTACAACTTCACGTTAAAAGCTTTAAACCTACTAATCTTTAATTCCTCTCACGCTTACTACTAGGGCTAAACTGGCTTTACTGTTATTGCGTTCCTAATTTTAGATTAATAAAATTTTGGCATTAAATAAAAAAATGGTCTTAAGTCGACATACTGTATTAAAAATTTTAAAGAAATAGATTATTTGTCGTATATTCGTAAAGGTAACCCATTTTTTTTAATGTTAAAATATTAGAAATCAAATTAACTTGAATTTAGGTTCGAAAAATTTAATTCTAATAGAAAGAATTTAAATTTATCTATAACATACATGTAATAACATTCAATGAATACACAATAATTAATCCAAATATTCCAGAATTCTTAATATATATTATAGCAATATCATTTTTTACCGATAAGCTATTAATGACAGTGGTAAGTTCCCTGACAAATTCAGAAATTGATTTAGTGTTTTACCTTGCGACACACAAATATTTTGAGTAGACATACCTGGAGGAACAAGAACAGCAAGAGAAATATCACTGTTAGGACAACCATAATAAGTACTCCATATATTAGTATTGTTGAAATTACAAATTTCCAAAAGACTAGTGTCATTTAAACCATTACAAATCTTTTTGTCAATCTTTGGAGCTTGACATTTGAACGGAGCATATAATAAGTTGACTTGCGGGAATGAGGTCTTTCATCCGAGTGAGAAGCTGTTATGAGGTTGCAAAACATGCATTTGGCGAGCTAATGCCCAGACTAGAAGTTCTTTAAGCATTTGAATAATTAAAAAATAAATAAATAAATAAATAAAATAAAATAAAATAAAATAAAATAAAAAAATAAACAAATTTAAAGATCATCATCTGCTCTACCGGGAACAAAAGTTGAGTTATCAAGCTGAACGAGGTGAATGTAAAGACCTAGGTAGCAAAAATAAAAAATTATCACCGAGAAAAACACGATACATGAATAAAATAAATAAATTTAATATATACCATATGTTGTTTTATTATTTGCAAGATGCCAATTAAAATTACTTTGTAACCACGTCTTCACAACATAAGTAGAATTGCTATCGAGGTATTAATTTTAATATTAGTTTGTTAAAAATATTAATGATAATGATTTGAGTATATATATATATACCCATAATTGCAGGCATTGGAATTTCCCAAAAGCTAGGATGTTTTACACTATCACAACTATAATTTCTCGAACAATAATTATGAAGGCCTTTATCTAAAGTGTAAGGCCAGGACGTATCGTCTCGCTTTAAATAGTATAATATAAATTAATAATAACAGAAAGTAAATTAATGAATAATTAAAAATGAAAAGATTAACACAACGAATAGAAAAAAGTTGATATTACCAAGGCAATAAAATAACACTTGAATCATATTTAAAACCTAATTTAGAAATAGTATCAGAAACATCTGGTGTCTAATCTAGGAATGGGCTGTTAATTCGTCAAAACAGTTGAATATAATCAATCAATTAATTGCAAAATAAAAAATGAAAAATAAAACAAACATACGTGCAAAAACCGGCAATTTTTCCATTTGGAATTCCGGCGTCAAGGGTCTCTTTACATCCAGTAATTTCATCTAATATATTTTTTTATATTTAAATCAAACAATAAATGACAAAAATTCAAAGATAGAAAGTTTACTCGGTCAAAAATTTTCACCAATGCTCGAAAATCTAAAGTTGTGATTCGAAACCCATCGATTCTAATCACTAATTATAAAATAAAGCACCGTTGCTAAATTTATTGATCAAATAATAACTACTAGGGAGGTTCTTAGGCTCATGTCTTCTGACAAGAGCTGACATTAAAAAGAATTTGACCAAACTGAAGACAGGTGGTCTGTATTTTATTATATAATTCTTAGTCTAATCTCTACAGAACAGTAAATATTAATCTAAATTAATATTTTCGTATTATCTTTTTTTTTACTATGGTTTATCTTGGTAAAAATATAGAATATCAAAGGGGTAAATTTGCGAAATTTCATTTCATATAATTTGTGATAGTAAATGCTTATTATCATTTAATAATGGTCAAATATTTGAGCTAACTGTGGTCTGGAGAGCTATCATTTAAACAAACATTATTTAAGAAAGAAATAGATATAATGTATACAGATTGAATAGTCTACTTTTTTTGAATTTGGAATATTTCATATTCGGACACTGAAAAGTAAGAGCGACCACTTATATTTCTAATGGCTTTTTCATAGAAATTAATTTGGCAAAAACATTGTTTATCTTGATTGCAATTATTTCCCATGTATATATCACAAGCAGAACTACCACCAAAACATGGACCGCAACCAGTATTATTATAAATTGCATTTCGTGGATATTTTATACGACTTAAGATGGAAGATTTAATAGTATTATTTTTCAATGAAAAAATAAAGCTATCATCATTGCAACTTGTAAAGCTATAACTATTATTTAGCTTATTCCAACCAACAGGATTATAACCACCAAGAATTTCGTCAGAATATTTAACTTTCAGGACCACAATAATGTTTTCTTTCCCACCACATAAATTCCAAAATGTATTAGCGGTAAAACCATCTCTAGTTCCACGAAGAAGTAATTTAAAATTATATGGATTATTTGTTACTGAATATGCTTCAGTTTTTTTATCAACCCATGTTGCAATTTCTGCTGCATGTGCTTCATTGATAACTGTTGAAGGAAATGGTTCGGTCACTCTAGATGGTAATGTTGGTGTTAAAATCTTACGGGGTGGAAGAATTACTGATGTTATTTGTCTATTTGGAATAATAAATCTTTTAAATATATCGTCCCAAAGATTTTTTTCAAGAATTTTTTTATATGGCTTCACTTTATCAATAATATCTTCATTAGACATTTGAAAATAGCGGATATGAGGTAAACAATTTTGTAAAGTTGTCTTTAAGGCTATAAAATTTTCTCGAGACCAATCTTCAGGATCGGATTGTAAATTTGTGTTTTGAGCAATTCCCCATTTAATGACATATTCCCAAATTTTTCCTTCGTCCATTTGTAAATCATCTCGTTTAATGAGTGAAATTAATACATTTTCTGGAAGAAAGGTAAAATCTTCTGACTCAAAAACCTTATCTGGGTACTTGGAAACAATATTATTGCACCATTTTTGTAATTCTTGAAGCTTTTCATTTTGGAAAATTTTATGATAAATTCTTGTAAAATGTAAACGGAGCCAGTGTGCATTTTCTTCAATTAATAAAGTTTCAAGGTGTTTGGCTAATTCATTAAGAAGAAACTCATAAGAAACAAGCATAAGTTCAAAAATAAATGATGCGTCTTGATTATCTTGATTTCCTATTAAGGCCATTCCTCCGTAGATGTATCTTTATTAAATTTATAAGTTTAAAAAATATTTAAATTAGTTCTCAAAATATAATATAACTTATAATTATTTCTAAGATTTGTAAGATTTAGTCCCTTTATCCCATAATGCATAAATTTAAAAGTCAAATTTTACTAGTCCTTAGAAAATATAGCTTACTTAATAATTATTTCAAATTGTTGAATAGAAACTTGGTTTAAATTAATTGTTTTAATAT